AACAGCGGTTGGTCACTTTACATGTCAGTCAAGCTATCTAAATGAGCAGGTCTTGACCAGAATAAGATAAACTGTGGACCAGACGTTGTCATTTATTTAAATGTCAGACTAAATTCTGGATGAGCAACAGGTATAATGCTTTTCCATGCCATTTTATTTCATCGCATGTGATTATTGTAGCTGGAGCAATTCTACCAGATCAGCACATTTTCAACCACCACCCGCTGAGAACTTCCTGCTGAGTTGCATATCAGAGCGCTTCTGAATTCACACGGCTTTCCCTCGTTTTCAGATTCCACATTATAATTAAATGGCAGAGCCAATTCAGTTAGTGACCTCCTATAGAATGCTATTAACATCAGCCACTGAAAAAACACCACATCAATACTAATCTACCCACTGTTAGCGATAATTCAATAAAGCCAGACTCCTGAAAACTGACGACGATATGAAGCGTGTGCATGTTTCCTGCTTGGATAGTAAATATCTCAGAATCTGTAAAGAGAGGAGAGTATAAGATAAAACTTGAGCTGTAGAGGTTACCACAGTCACAACGAGACAGATAGAGTGATCTCTTATTATCTACTGACGAGGGTCTGTTATTTAGCATCATTACTTTTCATCATCATCTCATTCCCTTCCAGCGCTAATGACCTCCATGACTGTGGCTGACAGATTGAGCATTCACTGATAAGAAGAGGAGATGGGGTGAGAAAAATCGAAGAGGCCTTCTGTGGTTAATGTGAAAAGTTAAAAATCACAATTTGAAATGTTACATGTTAAATACATACATATATACATATATACATATAGATGTTTCCAAACTTATCCTTTCCAATCATCCTACTACTTGTCCACTTGATCCTATCCCCACTCACCTCCTTCAGGCCATTTCTTCTTCAGTCATACCGTCACTTACTCACATTATGAACACCTCTCTTCACACTGGTACATTTTCCAAAGCATTTAAGCAGGCTCGGGTAACCCCACTGCTTAAAAAAACCCTCTCTAAATACAGCACTTTTAGAAAACTACAGACCGGTATTGCTTCTTCCATTCAATGCAAAGACACTTGAGCAAGTTGTGTTCAACCAACTCTCTATGTTTCTTGCACAGAACAACCTCCTGGACAACAACCAATCTGGCTTCAAAAGCGGCCACTCAACTGAGACTGCCCTGCTCTCGGTTACTGAAGCCCTAAGACTGGCAAGAGCAGCTTCCAAATCCTCAGTACTCATCTTGCTGGATCT